AGAACTGAAAATACGAGAAAGGCGCAAAAATAGAAGATTCTTTGTAAGAAGTCGTTGCCACCGACAGAAGGAACAAATAAATGAAATAAATAAAACGCTATTATTGAGGTGGAAACTGATTTAACCTCACTAAGGAATCAAAGACTTTTAGATGAAATACGGCTAGTATCCAAGACTGTAATCAAGGATGGCTTCTGAATTTTTGTTCTGTTTGAAATTTGGCTCTGACATTATTACAGCTATTCGTTGTTACTAGGCAGATGACGTTTTATTTCGTTTTTTACACTAATCCTAATTAATTACCTCGAACAAAATGATTTCGAAGAAAACGAATCGTCTCAGGTAGCAATCATTTCCAGAAATTTGATGCTTATAATGGAACTTGTGAAGACTAAATTATCGATTCATCTTCTGAAAAAACGCAAACATCTCCTCTCTAAACGAGTGCATTTTATGAAGAAGATTTTGTGGTACTCTTTCGGGATCTACGATGATTAAATGTCAGGTAAAGTTACAAAATATCTTAATAAAAGTGCATCGTTTAGAAAATGAAACTGTTGGTTAAATCAAATGAGTTTCTTTAGTAAATTATCAGCTATAATTCATTATATGTAGCTTCCTGTGGAATTTATGTTCCGCAGGATCATTGTGCACATAGAATGATTGTCGACAAACAGTTTAAAGAGTAAATTCTAAACCATTCGTCACAGTTTTCTAGATGGCAGACACGTAAATGTATTTTGTGACCAAAATTTCTCGAAAAGGGCAGCATGGCCTCGCGTGATTTAGTCTGCGATACAGACTTTTCACATCATTCAAGAAAAATGCAGCAGAATCGCTTTGCCTCTTTAATGAACTGCTTAGAACAATTTTCTTCCTGTAGGAGAGTTTGCGCATTTCTATTCGTCATCTTGTTGTTTACTCTTAAGCTCATAATGAAGTAGTTACATTTCATCGTCTACACCAGTCCCCTTCAGTAAATTTGGACCTTCTTCTTTTAATCGCAGGGATCATGTCATTCAGTGACGTAACATGACTCTGATCCAGTGTTGTTCACTTCACTCTTTAAAATAGCTTCTCACAGATCATTCACAGTAGGTATTTAAAACTAAATATTTCACTTCTATTTCAACCATCATGTACTATTCAATTATGTATTAGACTAGAATGGCCACTGCCTTCAATAAATCAGTGATATCATACGAATGAGGTCACAAATTCGAGTCTCCATCGAAATACAGATCTTTACAGAGGGTTACTACAGAGTATAATTCAAGGTAAATAGCTGCTCCACTAACAGTTTTCTGTGTGCGCAGAAAAAGACTTAACTAACAAAAAAGAGTAGGTGTAAAAATTAACCAAGTCGAACGATATTTTTGGAGATGGCAAATATAGCCTGTAATGCAAAAAAGGATTGCACAGATTTTAAGAATTTCGATTTAAGGATGTTGTTGATATGTTGTTGTTGATAGCGAGATAAATACAAACATCGAAAGTACAGGAATAAATTTTCTGTTAAAAAATTATAATACAAATAATAATTTTCTCGAAAATACTCTAATTTGCAAAATAAAAATTATTAACTTTTGATTGTACAATCAATTTGTATTGTACAGCAATTCTACTCTGTGTGAGGATAGAGAGTTTAGTATTCCATAATGGCTATCAGCACGGACATCTGCATAAAATTTTCCAAAAGAGGGGTGAAGAGTGAAAAAATTTATTACATAAATTTTTTTAAATTTAATATTAATTTTAGGGGTTCCCAAGTAGATTAAAGATATAGTATTATATTAATATAAAACGCATATAAACTACCATATATAGACCGTGTCCACAGAAGATTTTATGCGGCCTTTAACTATGCAAGAGTTGGTCGTAGACATACATTTCCATTTACAAAAATATTTTAAATTCATTTTCATGTTTTCATCTGGTTTTAAATTCAAATATTCATGTTCTGGCATTTTTAGCTCCGAAAAAAATTTAATTTTGTAAAAAATTATAAAATCTAAATTATCTAGATCCTAAAGTTTTTCCATTCAGAAAAAATCTGTACTCATTCCAAAATTAAATTTAAAATTTTTGACTCAAATAGCAAAAGCGAGATACTTTAAATTCAACTTTAAATTTTAAAATTACATTCATCAGCAACACAGAAATAGAAGAGAGAAATGTTTACATTTTTACTTAATTAAAAATAAAATTTCGGTTTAGAAAAAAAAATTTTTCATGTTACTAGATTAAGTGACGAGCATTTCTATGCAGATTGTCATGAAAAGTATTAATCAATAAGACTTGATTCACAAAATCTTATAGCATTCGGTTTGGAGAAACCATGCAGGCACATTCCTGTATATTGCATGCGTATTGGCACATATATGATTATTAGATTATGATTCTAAACTAATAAAATTTTATGAGAATTTTGAAAATTATAGATTATTAGTGCTAGAACTCTTTCAGCATAACATTTGTAGAAAAACTGTAAATTTAAAATGTTACGCTTTAGTAAATAACCAAACAATGTCACTGAATGAAATTTAGGGGAGAGAAGTCGACTATGAATTATTCTAATTAATTTATTAACAGATCTCTCAAAGCAGTTCGAAAATGACTTCAAAAATCCAAACTTTTAAAATTAACCACCTTCATAATTTTTCGTGGTGCAGGAGCCAAACTTTGTGCTTCATTGTTAATATAAAAATTTTTTGCATATAATTATAAGGACCGGAAGAGCATATAAAAATTTAGCATTCTTAATTTTTGCAAAACTGACGTTTTTAAATTTTAAAATGCCTGAATATAAATATTTGCATCATTTAAAACATTTTTTTTTTTTTTGTTGTTGTTGGAAATACATAATCTGTAATGAACGGTTTCGAAATAGAGGCCATATTATAACTTTTATGGACACGCTGTAAACACACACGCACATACAATAATTTATACATGTCTATTTACATGTTGAAGCATAATCGATGATGCAATAAGAAGTCGTGGGAAAATTAATATTCCTTTTTTATTTCTCGTTGAGACACATTTGTAAATAACTTTAAATTGCAAAATTTAGAGTTACATAAACTAAAACATAACATAATTAACATAAATTAAAAGCAAAATAGGTTTAAATTGTGAGTAATACTTAGCCTGGTATTTTTAGTTTATCAGATGGGTTTCATTAATCATCATAACTGCGTGATCCAGTATGGAGGCATAGTTACAAAAGAATTTGGGTTTTCGTTTATAGTTTTTGACAATTTTAATCATCATAACTGCGTGATCCAGTATGGAGGCATAGTTACAAAAGAATTTGGGTTTTCGTTTATAGTTTTTGACAATTTTAAAATTATTTCCAAATTTGCAGCGCTTTCCTACGTTATGGAAAGGATGGAGAGGAGAAATATCCAAATTAAAATAAAGATTTAAGCTGCTGTTTGGAAATTAAAATCAGAATTTTACTTTATGTATTTTTTAATCTTACATGTAGAGAAAAAGTAATTCATAATAATTTTGAAGCGCTGCGGCACCTTCCATTTCGGTAAAACAAGGAATAAGAATTAAATATAATAACGATGAAACCAAAATTTCTGGAAGCTATTACGGTATTTATGATGTAATTTATCAGTATAAAAATTAATTTTATAAAGTTTTTTATATTTATTATAATTAATCAAGCTATAGAAAATAATAAGTAATGAATACGGAAAATTTTTTATTGAGAACAAAACCTTTCCTGAAGATGAAATAGTGAAAGTTTTAACAGGACTCTAAAAATTACGTTTTATTTTCAAAAATGTTATATTCAAAATTTATATTTTGCAGTTAATTATATTTTTCAATTTAAAGAATTATTTTGGTCGAAATTTTATGATTTCTATTTTGCAAATTATACATATCTTTATTTCCTAGTGCTTTATTTATTTTTTTAATTTTTTTCTAAAAAGCCTCTTCATCTTTGAAGAAGGGAGTATATGTAAGCTAAAAGAATATGGAAATCAAAACTGGAAACTTGAAATTGCCGTTTGACTGTTCACTTTAATTTGGGTATTTCCTCTTTGTCTTCTAAAAGTAGTAACTGCTTATAATAAACCCCTGTGTATTGCGTGTATATCATTCCAGTTTAATCCATATCATATTAATCCATATCATATGACTTCTGCATAATGCTGGTGACGCAGATGGTTTTTTGAATTGAAATTCAGTCAACCAATAATAATTTTATAACTCTGTTACTTAGCCGATCAAAATTATATCTAAATAGAAACCGATTCATTTCGAGCTAAAATTTCGTCTTGAACACAACACACTTACAAGTAGCTTCTCCTGCAACCTAGACCTGCTAAAATTTGCTGTCTTAAAAATTATATTTTTAAAATATAACCGTACCCATTTAATTCTCCCGAAACAAGCATAGTTTAGTTAGGTTGGCTTATTGAAACGCTTGTTCAACTAAATTAAAAGAAATATTTAAATTTGTCCCAACTGCAGTCTTTTTCGATTGTTCATTAACAACATATGATCATAACCTCAAATATTTCTACATGTAGTATATTTCAATATTTGAGCCTCCAATGGCATTGATATTTTAAATTCATTACATATAAAAATAAATAATAAACTTCAAAGAAAATTCAAATATTGCATTTTTATTGCTGAATTATAAAAGTGAAAATTACTCTATTCGGAATTTTTCCTGCTACTTCTTGCAGCACATTTTAAAATTACAGTAAGACCCCGCTTAGCGCTGTTTCGTTTAGCGCTGTTTCGGTTTAGCGCTCTTTTATTTCAACCCGGGGATTCCCCGATATTGTGCGCAGCGCTAGGTTTCCAAATAACATATCCGAAACAGTGTAGTTGTGTTTCTTGTTTGGTGCGGTATGCTGTACAGACGCATTTTATTATTTGAAAACATTTGTTGACATTATTGTAAGTATTAATTTACATAATATTATAACTATTATTACAGTGTCAAATATTTGATCTTTAGTTTTTTTACTATGGGTGATAATGAAAAAGAAAAGAAAGCAACCAGAAAAAGCATTTCACTCAAACTTAAAATGGAAGTGATTAGAAGATTAGATTCTGGTGAACGTCAAACTCTAATTAGTGCTTCATTGAATTTGCCAACTTCAACAATAAGGACCATCATGAAGAATAAAGAAAAAATACTGTCATCGGCAACTGCAACTACGTCAAGCTCTGCAACTAAAATTACCCGTTCTAGAAATAATATCATAGAGGAAATGGAAAAACGACTGTCTATATGGATTGACGACGAAATTGACCGCAATATGCCATTAAGCCAATCTATCATAATGGAAAAAGCTAGAAGAATTTTTTATTACATTCAGGCTGAGACAATTGACAAAAGTGAAACTTTCGTTGCTAGTCGAAGATGGTTTAATAGATTTAAACATCGAAATAACCTTCACAACATAAAGATTACAGGAGAAGCAGCAAGTGGTGATACAAAAGCGGCGGCTGAATTTCCAGCGATATTAAAAAAAAAAATAATTGAAGAAGGAAACTATCCTCCAGAATTGGTTTTTAATGTTGATGAAACAGGCTTGTTTTGGAAAAGAATGCCGAAACGAACATTTCTATCCCGTGAAGAGAAACGGGCACCAGGATTTAAAGCTGCAAAAGATCGCTTAACCCTTCTACTAGGTGGTAACGCAAGCGGAGATTTTAAATTAAAACCATTACTAATTTACCATTCCAAAAACCCAAGAGCGATGAAAGGCATATCTAAATCAACTTTACTTGTAATTTGGGAGTCTAATAAAAAATCATGGATAACTGCGAAAATTTTCCAGGATTGGTTCACTGAACATTTCTGCCCGTCTGTTAAACGTTATTGCAAAATTAAAAAACTTGAACAAAAAGCACTTCTGTTAATTGATAATGCTCCAAGCCACCCAACAAATTTATCAGACTTAACAACATGCATTCCAGTCGAAGTGGTTTTCTTGCCGCCTAACACAACTGCCTTAATTCAACCAATGGACCAAGGCGTTATATCAAATTTTAAGGCTTATTACTTGCGGCGAACCTTTAAGCAAATGTTTGAAAAAACAGACGGAGAAGAGAACCAGTCCATAAGAGAATTTTGGAAAAACTACAACATCGTGGATGCTGTAGAAAACATAGGCCTTTCTTGGAATGAGGTAACAGAAAGATCTTTGAAAGGAGTATGGAAGAATATTTGGCCGGATTTAAGTAAGAGCGATGACGTTGGACACTCTGTCGATGTGGATGAAATAGTGGAAGAGATAGTGAAATTAACGAAGCAAACCGGTTTTGAAGGGGTAAATGTGGAAGATGTCGTAGAAATAATTCAAGAAGCAGCGGCTAGTCTTTCTAATGATGAGCTCAAGGAATTAACTGAACAAGAAGAAAACAAAAATGTTGACAGCAGTGATTCAGAAGAAGAGCAAAAAGAACTTTCGATGGCGTTTGTAAAAAGGAGTTTGTCTACCATAACTGAAATAATGGATCAATTCATTGAAAATGATCCGAATTTTGACAGGAGCTCAAAAGTAAGGCGTGGTGTTATAGAGATGCTCTATCCGTTATATGAAGAACTTTTAAGAGAAACAACGCAAAAGAAAAAAGCAAACAACATTAGATGCTTTTGTCACAAAAAGGCAGAACACTGAAAACGCGGAAGGCTAACTAATGATGACTGACTGAGAATTTTATTTGTTTTTTTTTATAAGATATTCGTTTTGTTATTTATATTTTGTTTTTATTTTTGCAAGAAATAATAATGTGGTATTAATTTGGGCTTTAAGAATAAATGTTTGGTTTTATTTTTATTAAAAAAACATACTATTTAAATTTAATACCTAACCAATTTTCCTAGCCATCTTCCCCTAACCCCATTATTTACATGTAAAGATAGCCTCGTTTAGCGCTGTTTCGCATTACGCTGTACTTTGATGGAACGCATCCCCCGCGTTAAGCGGGGTCTTACTGTATTTCTAAAAAATCTTTTAAAATTTTTGCTTTGCTTTCATTTTTTAGTCCATTTCAGGCCTGTTGGGGGTCGGGCTAGTGGATGCACCCCTTTTATTTTTAAATTTACGTATTACGTTTAATGGCACATCCATCGGCGCAGAAACAAGCTTTCTCTTTTGCATTTATCTGTGTTTTAACCCTCTAACGAAATCATGTACTCAGAATGTAAATAATTTCTTTTATTTATTTTATTATATATAATATATATATATATATATATATTTTGTATTTGTTATTTTATAATTTACGTATTAAGTTTAATGGCACATCCATCGGCGTAGAAACAAGCTTTCTCTTTTGCATTTATCTGTGTTTTTTAACCCTCTAACGAAATCATGTACTCAGAATGTAATCATTTCTTTTATTTATTAGTCCAAAGGGATTTCAGTCCCGGACTATTGCTTTAGTTTTGGCATTTTGCGTCGGACTCATAAACGTCGGTTCACTTTTCAAACTGTTGCCACAAAATGTTAGAGTCCTGCATTATATTTGAAGAAATTAAATAATGAAAAAATCTGCATAAATGATTGTATTTCTCGCATTGTGATAAAACAATGGTACATAGAGCCATCGAATTTTGAATGACGAAATCCTACTGCGATTATGGGCATCTGAAATCCCAAATTTGGAATTTTGTTTTATTATAGATTTTATATTTTGTAAAACTTTAACGAATTTTTGATTTACAAACTCAATGCTTTAAAAGCGAGAATGGCAACGTTATATAGAAAAAAAATACTTTTATCTCCAGCTCGCGAGACTGTGTATATCGGAAATTCTAAAAATATGCTTAATTTAACATTATTTTGCGATATTGATCTTGAACTGAATTTTATGGTTTAAGTGCAAAGAACATGATATTTAATAAATAAAGGTAACACTCAAAAGGTTAAAAAAAACGCTCCTTTGGACGTAATTTAAAATCTGAAAAATTTCAGATTTTTTTTTTTTTTTTTTTTTTTTTTTTTTTTTTTTTTTTTTAGTCCAAAGGGATTTGAATCCCGAAGGACTATTAGTTTCGTTTTGGCATTTTGCGTCTGACGGATAAATGTCGGTTCACTTTTCAAACTGTTGCCATAAAATGTTAGAGTCCTGCATTATATTTGAAGAAATTAAATAATGAAAATCTGCGTAAATGTATGTATATTTCTCACATTGTCATAAAATAACGGTACATAGAGTCATCGAATTTTGAATAACGTAATCCTCCAACGAATATGAGCATGTGGAAGACCAAATTTGAAATTTGTTTTATGATCGATTTCCTATTTTTTAACACTTTGACGAATTTTTGATTAACAAACTCAAGGATTTCAAAGCGAGCAATGGCAACGTTGTGCAGAAAAAACATTTTTATCTCCAGCGCGTGAGTCTCTGTATCGGAAATTCTAAAGATATGCTCGTTTTAAAACTATTTTGCGATATTGCTGTTGCACTGGATCTTATGGTTTAAGTGCGAGGAACATGATATTTAATAAAGAAAGGTAACACACAAAATGTTAAAAAACGCCCCTTTGGACGTAATTTAAAATCTGAAACATTTCAGATTTTTTTTTATTTTTTTATTTGTTATTTTATAATTTACGTATTAAGTTTTATGGCACATCCATCGGTGTAGAAACAAGCTTTCTCTTTTGCATTTATCTGTGTTTAACCTCTAAAGAAGTCATGTACTCAGAAATGTAAATCATTTCTTTTATTTATTATTATTTTTTTTATTTGTTATTTTTAATTTACGTATTAAGTTTAATGGCACATCCATCGGCGCAGAAACAGCTTTCTCTTTTGCATTTACCTGTGTTTTAAACCCTCAAAATAAGTCATGTATTCAGAAATGTAAATCATTTTATTATTTATTTATTTATTTATTTTGTATTTGTTTATTTTATAATTTACGTATTAAGTTTAGCTTTCTCTTTTGCTTTACCTGTGTTTTAACCCTCTAACGAAATCATGTACTCAGAAATGTAAATCATTTCTTTTATTTATTTATTATATATTGTTTTTTGTATTTGTTATTTTAAAATTTACGTATTAAGTTTAATGCACATCCATCGGCGTAGAAACAAGCTTTCCTCTTTTGCATTTATCTGTGTTTTAACCCTCTAACGAAATCATGTACTCAGAAATGTAAATCATTTCTTTTATTTATTATTTTTTTTATTTGTTTATTTTATAATTTACGTATTAAGTTTTATGGCACATCCATCGGTGTAGAAACAAGCTTTCTCTTTTGCATTTATCTGTGTTTTAACCCCTAAAGAAGTCATGTACTCAGAAATGTAAATCATTTCTTTATTTATTATTATTTTTTTTTTGTTATTTTATAATTTACGTATTAATTTTAATGGCACATCCATCGGCGCAAAAAAGCTTTCTCTTTTGCATTTATCTGTGTTTTAACCCTCTAAATAAGTCATGTACTCAGAAATGTAAATCATTTTATTTATTTATTTATTTATTTATTTATTTTGTATTTGTTATTTTATAATTTACGTATTAAGTTTAGCTTTCTCTTTTGCTTTACCTGTGTTTTAACCCTCTAACGAAATCATGTACTCAGAAATGTAAATCATTTCTTTTATTTATTTTATTATTGTTTTTTTTTGTATTTGTTATTTTATAATTTACGTATTAAGTTTAATGGCACCATCCATCGGCGTAGAAACAAGCTTTCTCTTTTTGCATTTATCTGTGTTTTAGCCCTCTAAAGAAGTCATGTACTCAGAAATGTAAATTATTTCTTTTATTTATTATTATTATTTTTTTTTGTATTTGTTATTTTATAATTTACGTATTAAGTTTAATGGCACATCCATCGGCGTAGAAACAAGCTTTCTCTTTTGCATTTATCTGTGTTTTAACCCTCTAAAGAGTCATGTACTCAGAAATGTAAATAATGTCTTTTATTTATTATTTTTTTTTTTGTATTTGTTATATTTATAATTTACGTATTAAGTTTAATGGCACATCCATCGGCGTAGAAACGAGCTTTCTCTTTTCATTTAGCTGTGTTTTAACCCTCTAAGAAGTCATGTATTCAGAAATGTAAATCATTTCTTTATTTTATTTATTTATTTATTTATTATTTATTTTTTTTATTTTTTTTTTTTTTTTTTTTTTTTTTTTTTTTTTTTTAGTATTTTTTTATTTTATGCAATGGTTTTTGCTTTATTATTGCTACTTTTTCTCTCTCAAATTGAGTTAGATATTTGAATTTAGTTTGATTTTTTTAATTTGCTTTGAATCTTATTATTGCCGCTATTCTACTGCAGCTTTAAGCGCATAATTTAGATTCCTGTTTTTGAAACTATTTTAATCATATTTTAAGTTTTAAGAGAGATCGACAGCTACATAAATAGATAGATAGAAAAGCATGACTTTACAGATGCAAGTAGCCTCGTTTGTTCCACTTTCTGCCAGTACTCATGCCCATCCACCTTAAACTCATGTTCCACTACCTTTGATTTTGCATTTCACGTCTCATTTGCTACCCGTTTTATTTCAAAAAATATTCTTACTATTCGAAACATTATCTTTTTCGCTGGTGCTACGTGTATCCGAGTTAATTCATTATATCTCTGCCATATCTCTGGAAAAAGGTGTAAGTATTAGCATGATAATACACTTGAAACAAAGGAACTTAGTATCTAATCTGCTCAAGAATCTTCCTAGAGTGACTGATATGCCCTTATCCTTCAGTGACTGACAACCTCTGTACAGCATCTACCAGTATGCAACTATAATTCAAAGATAAGGACACCGCTTCAGCAAAAATTGTGTCACTGTAAGAACATGGTAACTTCAGACGTATTTATTACATATATTGAATCGATCTGATGTTTGAGAAAGGGATCCAATTGTCATTTTTATCCAGTACAGATCTGTCAGTCGAAACAGATCCAGTTGCTTAAAGACGATAACGCTAGATTAGAAATATAGTACATTATGATATGTACGCATGCCATAAATTTCATGGCAAAGATTTAATACAAGCCGAATTCTTTAGGCTATGAGAAAATGTTTTCAAGATACTGTGATATTTATAAAGTCTGAAATTGGATAATGATTATTTAAGTGTTATGATATGGATGTTAGATAACAGACCTACAATTTTTATGTATTTCAAATTAAGCTCACTTTTGTAGTAGGTAGATAATGATTAGGAGTAGAAGCTCTCCCTGCCTTGGCATCTCTTATTTTTCCTTCTCTTCTCTTCCTCTTTATTCACTTATTTATTTTTATTAATATAAATAAAGCAATTGCTAATGCACGGTGGAGATAATATATATTAACTCATGGTAAATTCTAGATGTCCCACATACTTCTACCTTGGCAAGATATCTTCGCGAAGACTGTTTAACGTAAATACCTGGTATTTTCATTACATGTA